TCTCTAGGCTGAGCTCCCACAGGCACATTCCAATGCTTGACATCCCTTTTCAGATGTCTAACCTGAACCTCCCCTGGCACAGCTCAAGGATCTTTCTTCTCATCCTGTGCCTTGTTCCCTGGGAGCAGAGCCTGACCCCACCAGCTGCACCTCCTGGCAGGGAGTTGGAGAGAGCAGAACGTTCCCCCTGAGCTTCCTTTTCTCTAGGCTGAGCTCCCACAGCTCCCTCAGCCTCTCTTGGTGCTTCCGTCCCTTACCCAGCTCCATTCCCTTCCCTGGACATGTTCCAGCCCCTCAATGTTTTATCATAAGGGGCCCAGAACTGCCCCCAGTATTTGGAGGTGCCTCAACAGGGCCAGCACAAGGGACAGGCACTGCTCTGGGCCTGTGCCCACACTGTTCTTCATACAGAAAATATGGAGAATCTGGGGGAAAAGCCAAATAAATAGCACTTTCTAGAGGGTTATGTCCAACTTGTATTAATACTAGGCGCTACAGAGGTATAGGTGACTCCAGTTGGGCAAAAGACATTTACATTGCTGTTCCTGCCAGGTGGCTCTCCAGACACAACAGCACAGATCCCAGTGCTGCCTGGAGAGTCTCTGGTCCTGTCCAGCTGGAGTTTTTGGTAGAGTGGGGGATTTAATTGTGATTGTGGCTTGTGTGTGGTGCAGTTTCAGAAGGAATATCCTGAGATCTACCAGAGCAGGTTCCCCAGGACAGAGAGTGAAGCAGTGCTGCTGGACAACAAACCCACCTTGAAGCAGCCCATGCTCAGCCTGAGCAGGCCGAAGTTTCGCAGCCTCAGGTACTGATCTCACCTCTCCTCAGCCACTGCCCTCTGAATGCAAGTCTGAATGTTTCCCCAAAGGAATTCCTGCAAGAATGTGGTGGTTGCATGTGCAGAAGGAAGAAATGTTTACATGGACACTGAGCTGAAAGGTGCCAAAAAAACTTTTTTTGTTATATATCTCTTCTAAGAGAAATATTTACCTGTTTACAAATGACTATAACCTCTTGTGCTTAGGAAAATGTGAAGCTGTTGTTAACCATGGGTTCCCATGTTGTAATCCATGGTTTTCCCTAGGAAGCTCCTGACCCGCCTCTCGTTGTAACTCTTTAATGTGTGGGCAGGAATTTGTGCCATTTATTGTAGTTTGTGGAGGTTCTACATGTCTCTGTGTTGTCACTAAGTGCCTTCTCTGGATGCTCAAATATTTGTCTTTAAACAAAAGTTCTAGGAGGTCAGGGCTATTAGAGCCAGAATTGTTTCACCAGGAATAAATGAATATCTGCCTCCCTGAAATGCTTCTGTTCATCTTATCTGTAAACTCACTTCAGATTTTCTATGTTTATTTATATTAAAAGTCTTTAAAATGTCAGAAATATACTTAATGGAAGATTCATTTTGGCTCTGTTGGTGTGTTTCTGTAAATCCACTGATGGATGATACAAGGAGTGGGAACAACAGACCCAGAATAGACCAAAATATCCCAGAAAATAGAGGAATTTACTCATATTTTCTTTCCAGAGTTAAGGATGTGCCTATTAATTTGGGTAAGAGCAAGGCTCCCCCACAGGAGTGTAAATCTGCAGAGTATTGCTGGGAGAGAATAAATAATAAGCATTAATTAAGCTACTGCATGGCTCTGACATCATGGAATGGCTTGTCTTGGGAGGGAATTTAAAGCCCATCCAGTCCCACCCCTTGCCATGTGCAGGGACACCTTCCAGTAGCCCAGGGTGCTCCAAGCCCCATCCAACCTGGCCTGGAACACTCCCGGGGATGGGACAGCCAAAGCTACTCTGGGTAACGTCTGGAATTGGATGTTTCGGAGAGGTCAGTGCCTTTCCTTGCTGTTTGGTTGGTTCAGGTACCTCAGTTCCCAGCTGTGTGGTTTAGGCACATCCCTTGTGCTCTGTTATGTCTTGCCCCTTCCTAAGACAACTGACTTGTCCTTGTGCCTGCACACAGAATTCCATTAATTGCCATAAAACCAGGCATCAAAATACAGCAAATCTCATCTTTTCAATCTCTGCCTGGTTGGGTTTGATTGGGGGTTTTGGCATCTCTTGGGGAGGCTCCTTAAGTTTTGTACAAGGTCATACCCTGGAGCAGACACTTGGGTGTTCCAGTTGAGACTGTTGGTTGAGGATTGTCCCTTTTATATTGACATCTTGGTGCACCTGTGAACACGAGGCTGTGATCAAGTCTCCCCCCAAATACAGCAGTTTGCTTTTCTTTTCTTAAAGGTTTTAGAAGTGAAAAACCCAAATTAGCCCCATTTTAACCTGTATTAATGATGCTTTAATGGCCTGTGGGTAACTCCATGCTTGCAGGGCATGTGACAGATGTTCCTTCCCTGTCACCTAGTCAACTACTCTAGTAGTTGACACCTCCAGCCAACTCATTCCAACACTCCAGCACCTGCCTGAACTTGCTCCTAACCATTGCCAACCCTGTCGGTGTTGTGTAAATGCTTTGTTTATGTATGTGTTCCAGTTACTTAACTTATTAGGGTAGAAGCTCACATTTCCCAGGATTTGGCTTTCAAAGCCTGCCCTTGTTATTCCCAGTGCTTGATCCATGTTATTTAATGGTCCCTTCTTCTAAGGTTTTGCCAGACCTTAAGAGAAATGGGAATAAATAGACAAATTGACTCACTGTGGGACAAGGAAAATATTCCAATCAACGACATATACAAATTTCTTATGTGGAACTTAAGGCTATTCCCACATTCCTTTTTGCATCCTAATAACCTGCTCTGGGGGGACTTAGCCTGGAGAAAAGGAGGCTCAGGGCAGGACTTTCTGGCTTTCTACAACTCCCTGACGGGAGGTACAGCCAGGTGGGGTCAGGCTCTGCTCCCAGGAACAAGGCACAGGATAAGAGGAAGGACAGGACCAGGTGGGCTGGTTCTCCATTTCCAGTGTGTCCTCGGGCTTTTTCACTCCAATTATGCAAGAATCAATCTCATAGCAACTCTTTTTAAAGCTCATTCTGGTTTGAATATTTGAATCCACTTGAAATGGACAGAGGTAAATAATCTTGTTTCCTCCTTTCCCTGCAGAGCAAAGCAGGAGGAGATGCTGCTGCTTGTGCTTCACAGCACCTTTTTGGCTAACTGGCACCAAGAACTCCTTTGTAATTGCATTAATTGCAAGGAAGAACAGTTCTCTAATGAGTTCGTAGGTTCTCTAATGAGTTTGTAGGTTGTCTGCTGTCCTGTGCTGTTCTGCTGTCACTGTCACACCAGAGGAATTGCCTGGCCAGGTAAGATGCAGGGGGAGAACTTAGCTGCTGGTGTGTGTGGTCAGGGAGGTTTTGGATCTCTTCCCCGAGGAGGATGGGGTCTGAAAAGATGCTGTCACCATAGCAACACTGAATATTCATGGCATCAGACATTCAGATGCTGCTTTGAGTCCTTATCCTGGGATTAATTAAAAATCTGCCTGTGATTTGCACTGCTGGGAAGCCTTGAGTTTGCACTCAAGCTTATACTGAATTTCTTTTCTGCCAGGAGGCTTCAGGAAGAAATTACCATGTAATTATGGCTGTTTCATAGAAAGGGTTAATGGGAGGCCTCATCACAGCTCCTGAAGGCTCAATCTCCTCGGTGAGAAGCCTTAAATGAACCCTCAGTCCAATGGGAAACTGCCTCGAAAAGAGGGAGCAAACAAAACCAGGGAAAGAAGCCAATCTTCATGTGATGGCTGTGGCAGCAGATCCAACAGGGGATCTTTAATGTGATTTTGCTCCTTTCACCCCAGTTTGATCACTGGAGCTGTTTCTATGTGGGAGTAGCACTCAAATGTGGTATCACCCT